TGATACTCAAAAGTCCCAGTAACCAAAGCCAATTTATGATAGTGTGTACAAATAGTTAAGTGTGTGCTTACTAAGTGGGAATCAAAAATAATATAATTCCAACAAAATATAAGAAATATTACAATACACATAACAACCATCCTTATATCCCTCCATTAACCTCGAGTCGTAACCCTCACTCAGTGTTAAATTACCCGGTCAAAGGTAGATTAGCCCGAGCCCTTATAAGCCACCTATTGAGCTCCAATAGGAGCGTACCATGTGGCACATAAATACAACAACAATAGCAAATCTCCCAACACCTCTCACAATAATCAAACAAAATTCATAACAATATTACACAATTATACAATATTATAAAATTTATAATTTTCTCAATAATCACCCAATTAACATGAAATAACACTAATCACAAATTAAAAGCATGGTTACCTCATGGCTTTTTCAATAAATTATTTCTTACAATTTCTCTCCCACCACAATTTTCACCAATAATACAATCTACAATTAACATATTATTTATAAATATTAGTTTCAATTTTTAAAACTAATAAAATAATTTTAATAATAGAATTAAAAATATAATATAATTCCTAATATCAATCTTAATACAAATCTAGAATTAATATTATTAAGTAAAATTTTTAACTCCTCTTTTACTCATCAATAAACATTAATAATCTAAAAATCAACTTCTAAAGTAATTTCTATTATCAAAATTTTCTTTTTATTTCATAAATTCGCACCTAAAATATGCAAAAATTGAAAATATAGTCTCAAGCTAAGAATCATAATCCTATAGCTATAATAATTCATTTCTCATCCCAAATAATTATCTACACCTCAATAAATTAACATATATTTTCAGATTTAATAAAAATCTAGTCTAGGATTTGATCCATAAGTCACAAATTTAAAGATCATCAATAAATTTATACTCTAAAATATTTATTATACTACTAACAACCTTAAAAACTATATTTATTCAACATAAATTCATCCCTCTTTCAAATCTTAAATTTTCTATCACCACAAACTCAGAAACCAAAGAGAAAGGATCACTAAAAATTTTTTTTAGAACACATACTTAATTTTGAAAAGCTTGAAATCACACCCTAAATATCCTATTAAAAACTCTTACCTTAAAAATTCAGATCTTTCGCACCGACGACTCACGCTCACAAACGCTTTCTCTAATCGCACACAAAGAGAAAGGAAATGAAGGAAAAAGAGAAGAGAACGATGACTTTTTAAAAATGAATGTGGGTCCCACAACTTTTTTTATTATTTCCTCTTTCCTCTCTCTTCTTTCTTTTTTTTTTATTATTATTATATAAACATAATCATTGCACCGGGAGAGTGCGGAAAGTTCACTTCTTCTTCCCTTTTTTTATTCATACCTTTTCTCTTTTTTTATAATAATAATAATAATTTAATAATATATTTTTTAATTAATTAATTAATTTAATTTTTTTTAATTTTAATTTAGAATTATATTCTAGATTTAATAATCATTTTTTACTAATTTGCTTACCTCTAAATATTTTTTAAAATTTTTATTAACCCAAATTAACTATTAAAATTTAAATTGGGATGTTACATGTGGTCCTAACCAATATCGGCGGTTTAGTCCTGGCTAGCATTAGTAGTTTGGTCCTGGTTAAAGCTGGTCGTGTAGGCAATCCATTCCCGATCAACTCTAGCCCCCTCCAGTACCAATCAAAGACAGCCCTTCAATCCTAGTCACAATTGGTGATCAAGCTTAGGTTGACTTTCGCCCTCTAGTCTTAGTCAGCTTCAGCCTTCTTATCTTAGTCAATGTCAGCCATCTGATTATGATCATAGCCATCGGTTTAGTCGTAGTTGGCTTCGGCCCTCTGGTCCCAATCGACGTTGGCTATTTGGTCCTGGTCATAACCAGAGGTCCTATCTTGGTTGGTGTCATTTATGCTATCTTGATCAAAGTTGATCGTCCAATCCTAGTTAGCACTAGCATTCTAGTCTGTGTCGCAGCAACGGCCCAATCTCAAGGGATGTCGACCAAAAACAACGACGTCAAAGTTAAGAAGTAGTGAAGTCAACAAACAAATGCAAAAGAAGAGAGAAGCTTGCATTGAAATTTGAAATAAGTTTAAAAAGATTGAGGTAGAATTTTAATTTGGATTTTGGGTCAAGTCCAAATTCACACATTTTTAATTACTCAAATAATGAATTTAGTTTAAATTAAAATCTAAATTCAAATCCACATATGTACAAACATAACTTAAATGTAATTATCTTGTAGAGGCTGAGTCAAGTGACAATAAATATTTAGTGCCTTCGTCTCAAATTATAAAATAATTTAAAATTATTCTATTGTCTCAAAATATAAGACAATTTAAAAAAAATAAAGTTTCATGAATGATATTTTTTTAATATTATCCTTCAAGTAGAGAGAAAATTAAAATGATATTGTAATGTACTCCCTCTATCCTTATGTATAAGAAATTTTTTAAAATCTTTTTTGTTTTAAATATAAGAGGTTATTAGCATATTTTTTAATAAATGAACTATTACACCCTTATTACATTGAAAAGTAAAAATATAAGTACTCGTTAATTTACTTGGAAAAAAATATTTTTTATTTACAATAATTAGGGGCAAACTCAAAATATTATTGTGATTTTAAATAGATAACTAACTTTTATTAATTTATGCGATTCAGTTAAAAATATTATATATATATATAAGAATGGAGGGAGTAATTATTATTAAGTATATAAGAGTATTTTTAAAAGTTTATAATTTTCATAAAAAAATAAATTTATAAATTATCATTATTGAGCTTTATTGGTATGCTTAATCTTACCTTAAATTAATATTTGATTACTAGTAATTTGAGAATTATACTTATTATTATATTCGCTGGCGGACCAGTTCCATAACACCGGGATCCCCGTGCTGATTCAACTGAAAAGTATTTTTTATTTTGAGCTTATGGCGTGGATTCTAATTCTATGATGAAATCCCTTGCCAAAGGCAACCAATTTGACCGAGTATTTAACCCAAATTCTACCTTATTAATGTTGTTTTTTTTTCTACGACGTTCTGTCATTGCTTACAAGTCCACGTACACTCATTTTCAGCTTCCTCGACTTGAATCTTCCATGTCAAACAAAATGTATACTGCATTGTTTCTAATTATAAGTATTTATATTGAATTTGATTATGGGTTTTTAAATTCGATCACTTTCCATGTACAGCCTCCTCTCGGAAAGTTCCCCCATTAGTAGAAGTTAAGACATCATCGTCAACGTCTAATTTGTTTGATTATGACTTAGAAAGTTATTGACACCGTTGAATACTGTCTTTTTACTCGTCAACTCGCGTTTAGGAAAAGTCTAGATAATTTTTTTATTTTAAAAAATCTATTTAACAGAAGTTAATTTCTAAAATTGATTACTTTTGACTCTTAAACAATTTTTATTTAGTACTTATTAATGGAGTTGAGTCTAATAAAAAATATTAATTCTTCAATCACAATGTGACAAATTAAATTTTAAATTTATTTTGAGAGAAATGTTTACATTTATACCTGACCATATATTAAATTTTAGTAATTAAAAAAACTTTTCAATAATTGCTTTCCAATGATAAAAGTTGGGTTGAATTAATTACTTTTCAAACAACTTTCACTTTTAAAAATTATTTTTTTAAAAAAATATAGCTGAACATAAATCTGATTACAATACTTAATTTTTTATTAAATTGACTTTTGATAAATGAATTTTTGATAAACTAAAAACAAAACATCCACTTAAACAATAATACATTAATTAACCACAAGGGCAACCACAAAACCACAAAAAGCCATGATACCTATAATTATTATAATTAGATATTAAATTTTGAGAATTCCTCTGGTTCTGAGTAGTTTAACAAATGAAAAAAATATTTTTAACATAATTATTATTTAAAAGAAAAATACATTGGCCGTATCTTACTTAGAACCCATTCCTGATTGGACCATAATTGATTTCAATCTATTTCAAAATATTTTCATATTAAAGTTTTGTAAGAAAAAAAAATGCCAAGATACAAGCAGTTTACATTTAGAAAATGATTTCATAGGCTTTTCATTGATATCATTAATTTATTACAAACTGATTCTAATTCTATTTATAAATAATTTTTAGTATCTTTCATTTCAAGAATAATTTTAAATTTTATTAATTTTATTTTAAAATTTAATAAATTTTCACCTCTATACCTAATAAAAATAAAAGAATATTTAATCTAGAAAATAATAAAATATACTCTTTTTCTTTTATAAATATGGAAGAGTATAAATATTATATTTTATCTGTTAAAAAATGTAAAATATTTTTTAAAAAATTAAATTTAATAAATATAAAGTATTTTTAATTTTTTAAAGTGTAATTATTATTTTTTATTTTTAAAAATATTATCATTAATAATGACTTTTAAGGTATTTAATAAAAATAAATTTAAAAATATATAATTATCTTGTTGAAGATAAGGGTAAATTTTTGTTCAGAGGGCAGAACTTTCCAGAAAAAGATGCTTGCGCTTGTTTGCTTTTTCTTCGCAGGAAACGTACACTTTCTGCCCCTTATTAATTGTCATTGAACAAATACTAAAGTCAAACACTTGTGCGTGTTATGTATCAGGTCAAACGTCTCATCTAAGCTATGAAAACAAATACAGCTTTTTCCACAGCATAACTACTGTATAATGTATATATACGTAGAGACCTAACCGTATATCTCGTGAGTCTTGACTGGCGTAATAGTCTGCATCGTCGCTGATGCAGCCACCAAGTCGCAGACTTGCATTTTCCATTCCAAGTTTCCAACTTTACTGTACCATTGATTATTACATATTCCCAACTTGTACAATTTCCCTGACAAAATAGATTCTTGTTTTATGTATAAATATCTGCATTCTCGCTGCCATTGATGGGCCATGCAGAATCTGCAACTTAGCTTCTTGTTGTACTCATGACATTATATAGGCTTCTCGCTTTCCTCCTGCTGTTTCTCCAACTTCACTTTCAAGGCATCCTCTGTGATGACAAAGATGCCCTCCTTTCATTCAAATCCCAAGTCACTGATCCAAAGAATTCTCTCTCTGGCTGGAATTCTAATTCCTCCATCTGCTCTTGGTATGGACTCTCCTGCACCAGAAACACTAACAGAGTTCAATCTCTCAGTCTACCAGGATTAGGCCTTTCTGGTAATCTACCCTCTTCCCTCTCCAATCTTACTCATTTACAATCACTTGATCTTTCCAGTAATGCATTCCAGGGCCGTCTTCCTTTGGAGCTCTCGAATCTCTCTCTTCTTAATACCATCAATTTAGCTGCCAACAATCTCATTGGTACCCTTCCTTGGCAATTATCCCTTCTAAACCAGCTTCAAGTTCTGGACTTCTCTTCGAATAATTTCACTGGTCAAATCCCTCCTGAATTTGGAAACTTTTCTTCTCTCAAAAACCTTTCCTTGGCAAGAAACCATCTTTCTGGGGAGATTCCCAGTGATTTAGGAAATCTTCGTAATCTTTCTCATCTTCAACTCTCTCAGAACTATTTCTCTGGGGACTTTCCCATTACTATCTTCAACATCTCTTCGTTAACCTTTTTATCTGTAACACAAAATCACTTTTCAGGAAAATTACCACAAGATATTGGCGATTCTCTCCCTAATCTCCGAAGTCTCTATTTAGCTGACAATATGTTTGGTGGTGTGATTCCTGATTCCATATCCAATGCTTCACATATCCAAGACCTCGATCTTTCTCACAATCAATTCCATGGATACCTTCCCCTGTTCAGCAACATGAGAAATCTCACCTGGCTAATTCTCAGTAACAACCATCTCTCTTCCAGAACATCAAATAATTCTGATTTCTTTGATTACCTTATACATAGCCCAAAGTTGAAAATTCTGATGATCGACTCTAATCAGTTAGCAGGGGAGCTTCCAAGATCTATAGCAAATCTTTCAACCACTCTAGAACAATTTTGTGTATCTAATAACTTTTTCAGTGGAAGTATCCCTCAAGGTATAGGAAAATTTCAAAACCTCGTGTCCCTATCTTTTGAAAATAATCATTTCACTGGGGAGAAACCAAGAGACATAGGAGCATTGAATAAACTGGTGCAACTTCTTGCATACAAAAACAAGTTTTCAGGAGAAATCCCAGACATGTTTGGGAATTTCACTCAACTATCAATGCTTGCATTGCATAATAACAAGTTGTTTGGCAGAATTCCCTCCAGCATTGGACAATGCGAAAGGTTGAACTATTTGAACCTTCAAATGAATAACCTTCATGGGACCATACCAGAGGGTATTTTTAGGCTTTCTAGTTTAACCACATTGTCCTTAGCTGGGAATACCCTGCATGGGTTCCTCCCTTCTAAAGTGAGCTCCATGGAGCAACTTCAGTTCTTGGACATGTCTAATAATCTAATGACCGGATATATTCCCGAAGAAATAGATGGCTGCACAAGCTTGCGGATGCTTCAATTGGCAAGAAACAAATTTAGTGGTCCAGTACCAAGTACTTTGGGGAATCTAACGTCATTGGAAACGTTGGATTTATCTTCAAACAACCTCTCAGGTCCCATCCCTTCAACTTTGGAAAAGCTTCGGTATATGGTGAAGTTGAATTTGTCTTTCAACCATTTGGAAGGGGAAGTTCCCGTGGAAGGTGTTTTTACCAACCTTACCCAGGTTACTCTCCTAGAAAACAGCAACCTTTGCAGTCCTAACAAAGAAGTTGCGGAAAGATTAAGAATCATTGCATGTGTCAAAGGTAAAAGGCACAGATTCTTACTCCCTCTCATACTTGCAGTAACAGTTGCTTCTATTTTTTGCATTTCCATCTGCTTAGTGTGGGTGAAATGGTTCCGAAAGAAGGAAAAGAAGAATGATAAAACAAGTTTGTCGATTTCTCCTCTCAAGGGAGCTCCTCAAAATATATCGTTCTCTGATATTCGAGCTGCCACAAAAAATTTCGCATCCGAAAACTTGATAGGAAATGGTGGATTTGGCTTTGTCTACAAGGGTGTGTTCAGCATCGACCAATGTGAAACTACTCTCGCCGTGAAAGTGCTCGACTTGAAACAAAGCAAGGCTTCTCAAAGTTTCAGTGCAGAGTGTGAAGCCTTGAAGAACGTTAGGCACAGGAACCTCGTGAAGCTCGTCACTTCTTGCTCTAGTATTGATTATAAAGGTGATGACTTCAAAGCCTTGGTTATGCAATTCATGACCAACGGTAATTTGGACACATGGCTGTATCCAGTGGACGAAGAATCAGGGTCCTCCTTGAGCTTCTTGCAGAGATTGAATATTGCTATAGACATTGCTAACGCAATGGACTATTTACACCATGACTGTAACCCACCAGTAGTCCATTGCGATCTAAAACCTGGTAATGTCTTGTTAGATGAAAATATGGTGGGCCATGTAGGAGATTTTGGCCTGGCAAGGCTTCTTTCCCAGGATTTATTAGAGTCCGTCACCCTAGGACTGAAGGGTACCATCGGCTACATTCCCCCAGGCACGTAGAGGAAACTACCATCCTTATTATTTATCGAAAAACAATAACCTAATATCCGTACAAATTTTCTAACGTCCTTGTAATTTTGTTTCAGAATATGGCCTAGGTGGCAAAGCTTCAACCTTGGGAGATGTGTACAGCTTTGGGATTTTACTTCTCGAGATGTTCATAGCAAAAAAGCCAACTGATGAGATGTTCAAGGAAGGATTAAGCCTTGAAAAATTTGCATCGGCAATGGATGAGAATCAATTAGTGAATGCAGTTGATCCAAAGCCTTTTAACGATTTTGAATGGTCAACACAAAGCTCAAGCACTGGCTATCCTAGTGAAGGCACTAGTGACAACTTTAATAGTGGTCTCACGTTGCGCCAGAGCAAATCAGAGGAGTGTGCAGCTGCAGTGATAAGAACTGGCTTGTCTTGTGCAGCTGAAGTGGCCACAAATCGCTTGACCATGAGACAGGCCTCAAAACAATTACAAGGAATCAGGCAGACTCTGCTGGCTATATGAATTTTACAAACACATGTAAAAGTTAAAAATTAAAACACATATGGCTCTGTGTTCAATCATTGCTGTAGTTTTTCTTGTACAACGCATTGGCTTTTGTGTTTCGTTTGTACGTACGTTGATATTTCACTCGGAGCTCTATCACTTTTCATGAATTCGCTAGTAATAGCAAATAAGTGTAAAAGCTTGCCTACTGCTACTTGGCGGCCACATATGAGTGCAAAGCTCATATAAATGCAGAGTGATCAGCTGAGCACGACTCAGATTCGGATCCGAGCAAGTGAGACAAGCAGAGAAAGGGGGAAAAAAACAATAAACTGCAGAACACCTGACCTGAGATTAGAATCCAATGAAGTTTGACTGGTCCACAACTTTGCCGTATCTTCCAATTATTACGAATCAAAAATGAAGTTTCCGCCACTAAAACTTCCTATTTGGAAGAGGACACATTGACTGTCAGTTTCTTTGTTGTAATTGAAAAGCTTGTGGGGATCTCATGCAATTATCATGTAACCTCAAACTCTTCCACTTGGATCACTTCCACAACATTAAGTTCTTCGTTCGCCGTCGGCGATCTTCGGTATTATATTTTCGAAAACTTACGCACTTTCATTTATTTATAAATATATTTTTATATATTATGCGTAATGAACGTAAACGTTTTAAAATTTATTAATTACATATGCATATGTCTTGAATACTCTAGAATGATTTTATGAGTGGCTCACAGAGAAAGAGAGCATTTCAGGTTACTTGGATCTCTAATGAGATGACTATACTTAAATAATGGCAAACCAAAGATGCCTTGGAAGCAGAATAGAATAAACACCTCCCTCTCTTTCCTTCTGTGAGCATTTCAGCTTTTTGCATTATCGAGAGTGCTTTCTCTTTGAAGCTTGTCTCGAAACACTGGCAGTAAGCAGCATCAAACACGCCACAGAAAACACCAAAGTCCTGAGCATTATTTACTGCAAAGTAATAAATCACAGTTTATGTGCATACATAATAATGCATGGCGCCGCTGTTCCCAAATGCAAGGACTGGCCTATAACCCACATGCGGCAGACTGACATGATTTCAGTTATCAAAAGTAATGACTAATATGATTTGTTTTTTACCCTCATCATTCTGATCTTTCCATGCATGTTGCATTTAAACATACCAACCACTCAGACCCAGAGGAGCTACAAAGAAAAGAATTGGATCTGCCTTATTTATATGCAGACATAGATTTTGGTGCAGAAGCTGTTTTATTTTTCATGGGGAAGGCAGGAGCAAGCTCTTGGCTGACTGCAGTGAAAAGGGCTTTCAGGTCTCCAACGAAAGAAAACGATAAGAGAAGCAGTAGCAGGAGAAGAGAAGAACACGAACAGCAGGAGGAGGAGGAAAAGGTACAATCTCAAAGACCCTTCTGTTCTTCCCTTTCTATACTTCCTGCATACAGTGTAATAACTGACTAAGAACCAAATAGGATGATTTCGTTTACGTCTCTGTGTAATATTGCAGAAGAGGGGAAAGCGACGATGGATTTTTAGGAAGCCTTTTAGTCAAGAACCAGAAGTCTCTCAGGTTTTTGAGGAGAGAACTACAACCACCGTCGCTGATATTACAGCAACAAGTAGTAATGTTTCTGAGGCAGCTGATGATGATCCGCAAAGACACGCCATTGCAGTAGCCATGGCAACTACGGCAGCTGCTCAGGCAGCCGTAGCATCTGCTCAGGCAGCCGTGGAGGCTGTTCGGCTTGCAAAGCCGTCCATCTTTGTCAGACGCCATCATGCTGCCACGACTATTCAAGCGGCCTTCAGAGGTTATCTGGTAAATAGCGAAGTTGATTTGTTCACTGATTGCTATGTATCTTTGAGAATGAAGCTCATTGTTGTGTGGTTTAATTTGAACATGAAAGGCGAGAAGAGCACTAAGGGCACTTAAGGGGTTAGTGAAGCTGCAGGCATTAGTGAGAGGTCATAATGTCCGCAAAAGAGCAAAATTCAATCTTCAGTGCATGCAAGCCCTTGTTCGAGTTCAATCTCGGCTGTGTGAACAGAGAGCAAAGAGGATTTCTAATCACGGAAGCACTGATTCCAGACTAAGTGATTCCTCTAATATCACCGTATGTTAGTTTCATCTTTCAATATTGTGTTTCTAAAGGATGCCTGGCCCTCTACATATGAATGATATGTTTTCTGTTTGACTTCTGCAGTCTAGAGATGATGAAGCCCAAAAAGTTGACAGGATTCGAGCAGCTCTAAAGAAAACGAAAGAAGTTGCCTCAAAACGGGAAGAGGCTCTGGCTGATGCTTTCTCTCAGCAGGTTAGATAGTTTCATAAACCTTTGTTTTCAATCTCCTAGTTTTAAAAATTTTCGTCAGTGCCACAGCACGAAGCAACGTTTTGCTTTATATGTAACAAGATATGGAGAACTTGCGGGGACCCCATCAGCGCCAGTGAGGGAGAGGCTGAGGAAATCTCTAGATGGTCTGATCAATGGATAGGAAGAAGAAGAAGAAGCTTGAACAGAGAGACTACAGGGAGAGCTTCGTGTGATCGAAGAGACCCTATCAAAATAGTTGAAATAGACACCTTTAGACCCTACTCCAACACAGTACCCACCGATACCACCACGAGATCATCATCATCTTGTGGTTATTGTAAGCCTCAGCTCGATTCTCCGCTCAGAACCCATACCTTTCCTTTGTCTTCACCATTGCATAAAGCCCACTGTGATGCCTCTTTCCAGCCTCAACTAGTCACACCATCACAGAGAAAGATGAAGCAGCATCTTCAGGTGCATTCAGCTAGTCCTCGTTGCGCCACCAAATCCATATATTCAATGCATGATGTTTCAGGGCCCACTTCAGCGCCTAACTATATGGCTGCCACAGCATCTGCGAGGGCTCGGCTTCGGTCAATGAGTGCACCCAGGCAGAGGACTTCAAGCCTGCAAAAGTAGCATAACTATAACACTCGACATCTTTGGTCAAATATTTGATTAAGATAGTATTTTGTGTCCAACATTGTTTAGCTCAAATTGTAGAACCTTGAGCAGATAGCTACAGATGAGTGATCTCAATCTAACAAGAGAGAAAAATGTTCTTACTTAATTAACCAGCATTAGCCTGCCTGAAATGGCATCACATCGTCCAACACTTAAAGCAATTAGGATGAAGGGTGGCAACAATTAATGTGGTGATACAAAGGAGGATGCTCTGTTCTTCTGCATGTAGATGCATTTAGCGACTGAAAAAGAGGATGGTCAATAGAAGCTTTTTAGGTGAGGTGGTTTTTTTTTAAAAAAATTTTCTTATCTTATTAATTGAGGTGGGGTATTTTTGTGTTAGCATTCATATTCCTCTTTTACAGCCTTTTGCAGAAGATGGTATTCGTTCCAACTTTAGCATGTTGCATTACCAAATTCGTGCTTTAACGGGCTCTTTAGTCCACGGTTTTCGAGTAATGTTTTCTAGGGGAGGAAAAAAAGCGATAACAGTCATGACTAGGTCAAAATTATTGATTTCATCATCTGCTCGCAAGAAATAATTAAAATCAAAGACTTTGGTTTACTACAATTTCCTCGAACTTTTAGACTGGTATTACATCACAAGTCCCAATAATTATCATCCTCCTCCCACTCATTATAGAGTACTCTTTTAAACTAGTTTTGTTCTCAGCCTCACAAATAAATTACCCATACTCCGGAATCGAGTGTGGTGCGCGTGCAAATATGCACGGCATAACACGATAAAACTAGTTTGGAGTGCGTTCTGACTTGATTTGGGTTAATCTAGATCCGAAGAATGTTGCATACCGGGTGCACATGAAAAGGAAACAAAAAAAAACAATGATATTAATAATTTCAAAAAATTTTAGGAATGGGACCGCCTGATTCTGCGAGAACAGGACATCTAATTCTTCATAGGCGCAGACATGATCACCCGATTTGAAGCTGTCGAGGAAGCTCATGCCTCAGGGGGACATGCAGCATGAAACAGCCAAGTAAAAAAGAAATGGTAACATGTTCAACTTTTTCTCCTGTGGCCATTGGCAGTACCAAAAGCACCAACTCATTGGCACGCCTCATCTTTGTGTCCACATCATAGTTGCTTGGCTTGGAACTTGGATTAACTAACTGGTACTAGTAGAACCCAAAAAGCCAAAAAAAAAAAAAAGGAATGAAAAATATTCGGAGATATTTTCCCTTGAAACTTGAGGATGAAAGGGAGTTGACCTGGTCAATGTCAGATCCGTCGGACCAGACATGGCCACGAACAAAAATAATTCCACAGAACAGTCCCCATAACAGATATCATCCCGACCTGAAAAACAGAACACAGTCTTCTTCACAGTAACATAAGCACAAGTCGCCCAGATTTTTGAGTATACAAAACACCCAGAAAATCCTTAAGCTACCTAAATATCCAACCAAATCAAGATTACATAATACTTGATACCACATCCCAAATCAAGCACCTCAACTCAAAGATACTAATTTGCTTTATTGAACAAGAGCAACGCAAACTCAGAATTGGCCCTTGAAGATGCCACTGTGGGGCTACTATTGCTACTACAATCAGATATGGATCCCAGCGTTCTCTGCAAAACCCCAGATGGAGATGACACCATTGTTGCCAAAGGACTGCCTGATTCGGCATTTGTCATGACCGGAGACTCTGGATTGGAGGCCGCCTCGTTGGCCGGAGCCCCCGCGCTTGGCCTTAGAACCTCAGCTAGGGGACCACCAGGTGTTGAACCCCCCCAATGTGCGGCGGCAGGAGTGAGCCAACTAGCAAGATGGGTTTTGTTGCCATTTTCTGTGTTTCCACCTGGCTCCATTAGGCCTAAACCCATGTGAATAGAACGCATTTCTTCATCCACAGCAGAACCACCTGCCATTGATAGATCGAGCGAAGAAAGGGATAATTTAGCATTTGACGAAACAGGACTTTTGCTGGCGTTGGCATTATTGTTTTCCGCTGTTTCAGCATTAGACCAAGCGTCAATGAATCCCCTGGGTTTTCGGGGCTCGGGATTCTCCATGGGAAGGAGCGGATTGAGGAACAGAGAGCAATGTCTGTTTTGTTGGTCCAGCCCTGAGTTGAAAGATGCAAAGGAACTCAGATAAAGAGCGTCTTCGTAACTTGAACTCGAAAGGGTGGCGGCGTTGTTGTTGCTGCCGCTGCCGCTGCAGGAACTCTGTTTGATGAAATCAGCTTTAGCTTGCATCAGAGGCTGCCATTCTGGCTCAGAAGCAGCAATGGAAATGGGGTCTCCCTTTAGCATCCAGTCCAAACCCCTTCATTGCACATGTTGAAGTAACAGGATAAGAAACAGGGAAGTCAAGTCTATTGCAACAGAACAACATCAAATGCAGCTTTTTCTCTGCGTCTTCCGCTCGGAACAAGAAATAAGACAGTTAAAAACATTTTTTTGTCCAAGGATACACACATTTGACTCATTTTGAAACATAAATATTAAAGGATTAAAGATCAATGGGTACCCTTCAGGTTCTTTACGGGAAAAAAGCAACCTCTATAAATTTCTTTTCCTTATAGTTTCTGACCAACCAAACAGAGGTGCCTCATGGCAAAACCCCAGGCCCAAGAGAACAAGGAAAAACCAATCAACCTATCAAGAAAAAAGTGACAGCATCCTAGGTGAAAACTTCAAGTCACCCACCTGGGTTGGCTCTCAGATGGCACAGAAGCGAAAGATCCAAAATTAGAGGCTTTAACACCATACTTGTCAAGAGAAAGGGAAGATTCGCGTAGTGGCTGACTGGTACCAGACTGAAGAAACTGAGAAGAAGATCCAGCATTTGTGATGACGGGATTTGAAACAGCCACAGAAACTGAAGGTGTAGGATAAGGATGATGGAAATCTTGGCGAGCCCTTTTGGTTTGCTCGTTGTTGTCGGTGGCGCTGCTGTCGGTTTGAACTTCCACAGGCTTTCTTGAACGGGGACGACCTCTGTGCATATGACGCTCGCAGTACTTGTGGTTAGGAGCCACATCTCTAGAACATCTCCATTTCTTCCCATCTGTTCTCCTGCACCTCCCTGGCTCTGGATCAGTGCTGCTACTTGACAACCTCAGATTGAAACCTCCATCAACTGCTCATAGAAATGAAACTTCATGAGAGATGGGGAGAGGGGAGAGATTACTGATTAGACAAACTGAACCGACATCATTTCCATCCCAGAAAAAGACAAAATGGGCAAAGATATAAACTTTGAGATACTGCATACAACGAAGACAGTGGAAAAAGGCACTTGGGTTATCAATAGGAATACCCAGGAGACATGATGAAAGAGAGACAGGGGAGCATACATGTAGAAGCTAACAAGACACACAAACAGTGAGAGAGAGAGAGAGAGAGAAGAGAGACAGGGGAGCATACATGTAGAAGCTAACAAGACACACAAACAGTGAGAGAGAGAGAGAGAGAGAGAGAAGAGAGACAGGGGAGCATACATGTAGAAGCTAACAAGACACACAAACAGTGAGAGAGAGAGAGAGGGACATACAGGGAGAACAAGAAGCAGATGTGAGAGCGTTGGGGATAAGGAGATTGGGAGGAACAGGAACAGAGGCCATCATGTACTTGTAAATCATGGCTTGCCTTTCAAGCTCCTTCCATTGTGCATTTGTGAAAGGGAACCCTAACGAAGCCGCCATCGTTCCTATGTACAATCACAACCAAAACACACAAGCATTTTCAGATACTCAGACACAACAGCAGCGCCCTCACCCTCTCTTCTCTCTCTTCTGACTGTCATCCTTTTTCTTTTCGTTTCCTTGTTGTACCGCTATTTTTCTAATAAAGATGCAGCCTTTCATGCATAGATGAGCAAGAAACCACAAATAAATAAGGCAGCCCAGAGGTTTGACCAGGACGAAATAAACACAAACCTGGGGATTTGAAGGGAGGGCGAGTGGAAATGTCAAAAGGCTGCAACGTTCTTACAGCAACACCCCCACTATGAACAGCTGCTGCAGAAACGGCAGGAGAAGCATAACCTCCACTAACAACATGGTTTATATTATGATGATGATGAGTCATGTACATAGACACAGACGCAGAAGAAGTTGTGGGGCCATCGCCATCACCACCCCCAGCACAGGAATCGTTATCAAAGGGCGATAATGGACGGTGGTGGTGATTATGAGGCACCATCTTCATCATCTTCTCTTCTCTCACTGGGGAATGCTTCAACAAACACTCTTCCTTGTCTTAAACGCCAGATTCACCCGCACAGCCCAGTCTAATCAAATCACCTCACTTTTCCCGAATAGGAAACCACTTGCAAGACCCAACTTTCGAGGCGAGCAAATTAATCCTGTTTTAACAGTACTAACAATACTTATAGGTAATCTCTCTGTCTCTCTCATGCATTGGTGGGGGTTGGAGGAAGGAATGGGGAAAGCGTGAGGGGAGGTTGAAGTGGGGATTTACGATGATAGAGGGATGGGGGTTGCCGCCATTCTTGGCCTTTGCTTTGCTTCCATGCTTCCGACATTCGCACCACACACTAGCAGACAAATGAGTGGAAGTGACCCCATCTCTTCCTTTCTCTCTCGTTATTATTGTGCCATCCATCATTTTCTCCCAAGCCCGCCTCAAGATTTACAAGATACCCCCCCCCCCAAAAAAAAAAAAAAACCTGCCTTGCTTTATTAATGTCATTGGGAAAAGGAGACAAACTGTGTTTTTCTTTAAAAAAAATTTGAACACACCCTTGTATTGTACCTTCCCTGTTTTTATAACGCCCACCGTTTTAGCTCTTTATCGTTTCACGCACACTTCATAATCTGGACGCAAATACTACAGTAATAGGAATAGTGCATGTAGGAGAAGAGAGAAGACGCTTTCATTTCAAGTTTCAACTGCTACATTCCTGATGCCATATCAATATTGCTTCAACTTCAATTCCTTCACGGATTTCCCTTGCAGTTTTGCAGTCGCAACAAGAGCAAGTACGGTTGCTACTGTCTATACACTGGTCTTCTTGATGACCGTTGTACAAGATGAAAATACGTAATGGATAATGTAGGAATAAATTGTTACCATACGCTGCTGCGTCTTTGGTGATACACATCAACCAACGGCAATTACGGAATATTCGTTTTCCTACGCTGCAGCGTCTCGTTTCATTCTGAACAGTATCAATTTTGTCCTAAACTTTCATGGAACGAGCAAAGCAAAAATAATTAGTAGTGACGCTGACGTCCTTGCAAAGTTTGAAAGTTGTACTCTCCGATCTTATTTATAAATTATTTTTATCAACTTCATCAATATCAATACAATAAAAGTATAAAAAATAAAATTTTATAAAATTACAAACATAAACCTTAAAAAGTAAATAAATTATATAATATTATTTTTTTTATTTCTCTCTCTCATATTTTTAAAAATAGTTTAAGCATTTCATTTAAAATAAAATATTATTATTAATTTAATAACTTATAAAATAAACTACTTTACTCTTTTAAAATGAAACTAATAAAGTGTATGCTTTTTCTCCACTCCACCACCTTGTGGGGTACTGTGTCCATGAAATGAGCTGTATGATTCATCAATTATCATCCCTCATAAATAGCGTGACCGTAATATTTAACATATATAGCGAGGAATAAAACTGTGTTAATGCATTTTATCCTAGCCCTCTATATTTGCCTTCATTTTTGCCCCGACCGACGAGGGATGAGAGAAAAAAGGGGACCCAAAATGGCCTCGCCTGAGGGTGGAAGTTGCTCCTAATATTGGGACCAAAATTTGTTGAAAAATGTTGGGTAATGGCTAGATCATATAACGCCATGGTGGGACGCTACAGTAGGACTTGATCTTGAACATATCCACTTCTCTCCAAACCCTTCAGTCTTCAGTGTTGCCGAAGGGTCCCAGTCGATCAATGAGAAGCAAGGAAAAATATATTAAATAAAACCTAAAATATATATTTAATTCATTAATTTTATACCACATCGTAACTTTATAAAATACTATTTTTCTAATCTCTTAACTTTAATATTGTTAGTGTTATTTTAATAATTTTTTATTTTAAATTTTTAAATATTGATAAAATGTTTTCTTGATATATTAAGTTTAATTTTTTTTAAATAAATATGATTGATATAAAAAATAATCATTTAAAACTAACTATATTGGTGTTAAAGGACTACAAAGATACCTTACAAAATTAAATGATTAAATTGAGACATTATATAAAATTAGAAGACTGAAAGTGTACTTTAGCCTTAAATAAAAATACTCTGTTGGTTAAGAAAATATATTTATTATATTGTTAAATAAAAATATCAAGAACTATTTATTATTGAATATCAATAAAATGCAAAAAAATTATTTTTTATGAATAAAATATAATGAATTATAAGAGAACGATACTTGAATTTTAAAAGAGTGAATTAATAATAGGTATATCCCCGAATTTTTTTATAAAATATAATTTACAAATATTAATTTAAATAATTTTAAATTTTGAAGTTTCAAGACAATTTTAATTCCAAATGTAATTATTAATTTACAACTAATTTTTAAAAAAATTTATGATGATCTAACTATTATTAATTTAGATCCAAAAACTATTATTAATTTTGTTTGGCCAACAAAAAACTATTATTAATTTCATATTACACGAGACTTAAACTTCAATCTCCCATGTCATGCGTCCAAGGATAAGTATTGAAATTTGAATTTTAAAATGTCCTTGTTTTTACCTTCATTTCTCCTACACCATGCTTGGATGGATAAGCATTGAAATTTAAATATTATAATAGGCTAAAATATACTCTCTTCATTTAAAAATATAAAATATTTTTAACCAAATCTCACCTCCCAATAAAATAGTTACTTACTTTCAAACTAACTCTATCTTTTCATATTTTTTTCTATTAAATACTCTACAATAAATATAAAGTCATTATAAATAGGAGCACTTTAAAAAAGAGACAATGATTGCACCTCAAAATACTTAAAACGTCTTGTATTTTTTAACATCTAACACAATATCTTTAGAATCAAATTGAATATTGAACCGAAAAGGTCAGCGATTCACGGTTAATATGGTTCAACCGGGTTGAATTAATGGTCAAACCGATGACGTAATATTTAAATTAAAAGAATTATATATGTATAGAATAATCTAAATACAAGAAATAAATATGAAATTGCTACTTAACTTAAAAAAATTAAATATTTTGAGTTTATCATGATTTAACAATTCACATGATATAACATGATATCAAATGATTAACAAAATTAGTCATTTTCTAAAAAAATTGGTAAAAAAAAAATTTAACAGTCTACTTTTTAAAAACCAGATCCAGTTTCCAATCTAACCGCCACTTCAAAACAACCCAACTTAACTCAATCCATAAAATGGATTTCTCATATGAACCAAACTGAATTTCGAACCGGTCTGACCGTTTGGTCCGATTTTAAAAATACTGATTCAATTCCTCAAAAAATACCTTACATTTTTTAACGGAGAAAGTAGTTTTATCATCTAACTTTATGCAAAATTTTAATTTAGTCTTTTAATTTAAAAATTATTTTTCAGTCCCTTAACTCTAATAATGTTAGTTTTGTGTGATTATTTTTGTGTCAATCATTATTGTTTTTAAAAAATTTAATTTACTACTATTTAAAAATTCAATGTAAAAAATTTTGTGATGAAACTAACAATATTAGAATTAAACAACTAAAATATACTCCTTTCATTAAAATATGTAAGATATTTTTAATTTTTTAAGGTGTAATCATGCATTCTTTTTTAAGTTTTCCTATTGAATAAATTACTTTATATTTATTTTTGAGTGAAACATCTTATTAAATAAGGATAAATATAAAAAAATGAGTTAATTTAAAGATAAGTAACTATTTTATTAAATGTGAGGCTTGATTAAAAATGCTTTCTATTTTTAACTGGAAAGAATACCTTATAAAATTAAAATAAAATCTTATATAAAATTAAAGGATTAAATATATACTTTAATCATTTGTAACATTACTTGTCCTTTTTTGTTTAAACACTGATATATTTTTGAAAAAATTATAACTGGATCTTATAAAAAAAATTTATTATTAAGAGATTTTATAAATCTTACAAAATACTTTTAAATCACAGACCATACGCATTAATTACTTGATAAATGATATTTATAATTAGATAATGAACACTTCCAACTTAGAAATAGCAAGTTGTGAATTTATAAATTTAAAATTTAAATATATTTTATAAATTTTATGAAATTTTTTGATAATAAAATTTAAATATACTTTTTTTCCTTCAAATAAATGAACAGTGAGGCAGGCAGTAAATTGAGAAAGGCGCGTGAAGACAGTTGTTGCCGCGAGGCTGCAGACGCGCTAATTAACTCACAGCCTTAGGATTGTCATTTGTCAGGACGTGACGTCTAACGTTGTGGCCAGGCGCGTGACTCTTTCGAGATTGTACTACTCATATGGGCAGCGGCAATAAAAAGCGCCCAGATTGAGATCCAAGTGGCTTGAATACTATAATTTGGCCAAGAAATTTCAAATATTAATCCCAAATCATAAAATATTAAAAAAAATTAATCACTTAATTCATATTATTTTAACTCATATAATTTTAACTCATTTATAATTAATTTTTAAATTTTAACTTTTCTGACTCAATAATTATAAGTTTAATTTGATTGTAGCTAGACCTTTGAACTTTTATTTTTATAATTCAATCCTATAATTTTAATCATTTAATTTTAATCAATATTTATTATAAAATCTTATATTTTTAAAAATAAAATTATAAAAATTAAAATTAATTTAAAATTTTAATATTTAATATAAAAATTAAAAAGGCTTAGTAACTTAAAATATTAATTTCAAATTTTAACATAATTTTAATATTTATAAATTTTTCATTATTTTAAATAATTAAAATTATGAAGATTGAGTTGCAAAAGTTATAGTTTAGGAATTAAATTATAATTGAATTAAAATTATAAGAATTAAATTATAATAAGTTAAAATTTAGTAATTAAATTATAACTAAATTAAAACTGCAAGGATTAAATAATTAATACTCCCTTCATTCAAAAATATAAGGTATTTTTTTAAGGAATTAGATATTAAAAATATAAGATATTTTTAATCTTTTACTATGTAACCATTGTTATAATTACTATGAAAGTGTGTCAAAAAATAAGTCTCCTATTGCTTACATAAGAGGAGAGGTCTCAGTAGATTATGTGAAAATATTTTTGAAAAAATTCAAAAATATTTATTTAAAAGTGTTTTTCCAAAAAAAACCTTCATTTATCTCACTTTAAATTCAAATTCAAATAATAAGTTTATTTCCCCTAATTACCTTAGCACAATACGTTACTCCCATTTAACTTTTAATTATTAAATCTGAATATAGTTATAAGCTTATTTACAAGTCCACAAACATTCAGTTTTAATGCCATTTTATTTTGTCCAGATGATGAAATAATGATAATTTATTTCCTTAATGTGTTGGAAACATGAGGATTCTCTTCAAGACCTTTTATCATATTAGATTATCATGTGATTCAAACCCTCAACGTCCAA